GAGATGATGTGCTCCCAACAGGTGAAACAGATCCTGCTCCAGAGTAGAAAGCCCACCAATGGGTCTACTTACATCCACAAATGGGCGAGGTTCTGCTCTTGGTGCGTGCATAATAGTTTGGATCCGACCTCGGCCCCCATCCATCGCATTCTCGACTACATCCTGCATTTAAGGAATTCCAGTCTGGTGTTATCTTCGCTCACGGTTTACCTTGCTGCGATCACTGCCTTTCGATAGCTAAGACAGGTATTCCGTATTCACTCATCCAATGTCCAGGAGGTTTATGAAAGGAGTAGCAAATCTTTACCCGCCACACAGAGATCCACCTCACCCATGGAACTTAGAACTTGTCCTGGATGTCCTGATGCAACCTCCCTTCGAGCACTTGATGACCTGTCCTCTGTCGCTACTGACCACCGAGGTTGCCTTTTTCTTAGCAATAACATCTGCACAATGGGTGGGAAATCTCACCTCACTCTCTGCCACTCCTCCATATATAATATTTACGAGCCAATGAGCTATACTCCAACCCCAACCATCCTTTGTACTGAAAATTAAGTTGGACTTTCACATCAACGAGCCTATCCTATCATCCTTCCAACTTCTACCCCCAACCACACTCCTCCCAGTGGGACACCACATTTCACACATTAGGGGTATGTCTAGACTACAGGCTTCCATCCACAGAATTTTTGTCGACAGATTCTGTCGACAAAACTTCTGTCGACAAAGAGCATCCAGACTACATCGCTTTGTCGACAAAGCGATCAGCTTTGTCGATAAAGAGAGTCCAGACTGTGGGACGCTCTATCGACAGAAGGCGGCACCTGGAAGTGCTTCTGGAAGGTCACAAGAGCAGCCTTAAAGCCCAGGCACTGCTGCATGGTCTCTGCAGAGATGCGTGCTTAAAGGGATCCTCCTGGACAGCCATTGCTTTGCTCCTGCTTCTGGCTTGCCTATCTCAGAGGGAAAGCAAAGCTGCTGCAGTTTTTTTGGCTCTTGTTGCCCTGCTTTCTCGGACACCACAGCAGTTTATTTTCTGGTTTGTCTGTTTGGTTTGGTTTGGTTTTTTGTTTGTATTTTTGTTTTTTTGTTCTTTTGTTTGAGTGTTATTTTGGCTTATTTGGCCATGGAGCCTGAGCTGCCCCTGGTCAGGCGATGGCCCCACACCGTCATGCTGGAAGTTCTGCTGCATGCTCAGGAGAACATGATGACCTTGCTGGCAGAGCTGGATTCTGAGCCCAGCTTTGAGCCCCTCGCTCAGGCTGCAGCTCTGCTGCCCTTAGCCCTGAACTTATTTATGGAAAGGCAAGTTTGGAGGCTGGACACCAGTTCGGACTGGTGGGACCGGCTAGTTATGCAGCAGTGGGACGACGACCAGTGGCTCCGAAACTTCCGGATGCAGAAGGCCACCTTCCAGGAGCTCTGTGTATGGCTCGCCTCTGCCCTGCAACACCAGACTCCCACTTGCGGACTGCCATCCCCCTGGAGAAGTGCATCGCTATTGCGCTGTGGAAGCTGGCCACCCCCGACAGCTACCGCGCCATGGGGCATCAGTTTGTCGTGGGGAAGTCTACCGTCGGGGCTGTCTTGATGGAGGTAAGTCACTCTCAGGGGACAGTCCAGGAGGGCAGTCAGGACCAGGCACAGGGAATTGGTGATGGGGTGGCAGAGATAGAAGCCCTCTCAGCCTCAACCCAGCCACCACTCCGTTGGATGTCAGTTTGGCGTGGGGAGGTCTACTGTTGGGGCCGTCTTGATGGATGTAAGTCACTCGCGGGGGACAGTCCAGGGGGGTGGGGGCAGGCAGCTAAGGGGGGCAGTCAGGACCAGGTACAGGGAATTGGGGATGGGGTGGCAGAGGTAGAAGCCCTCTCGGCCTCACCCTGCCATGGTGTGTGGGGCAGGGGCAGGAGAGGGGTTGCCTGAGGGGGGCTCTCAGGATCCGGGGGAGAGCACCTTTCATCAGCTGAGCCAACCCCTCTAATGTCCTGTTCTGTGTGTTTCTATTTGTCCCTTTCTGCAGGTGGTCACGGCCATCAACTCAGAGCTGCTTCACAGGTCTGTCTGCCTGGGAAACCTGGATGCCATCGTGGCTGGATTTGCGACACTGGGATTCCCCAATTGTGGTGGAGCACTCGACGGGACGCACATCCCCATCCATGCACCGCCCCATCAAGCAGCCCAGTATATTAATAGAAAGGGCTACTTTTTGATGGTGCTGCAGGCCTTGGTTGACCACCGGGGACAATTCACAGACATTTGTGTCGGGTGCTCAGGCCAGGCACATGATACCTGCATATTCCGAAACTCCTACCTGTACTGCAGGTTTCACGCTGGGGCATTTTTCCCAGACAGAAACTTGGCAGTGGGGGATGTGCAGATGCCTATATGCATCGTGGCCGACACGGCCTACCCCCTTATGCCCTGGCTCATGAAACCCTACACCAGTCACCTGGATGCAAGCAGGGAACTCTTTAACTCCTGCCTGAATCGGGCTCGCTTCCAGGTGGAGTGCACCTTTGGGCGTCTGAAGGGCAGGTTTAGATGCCTTCTCACTCAGCTGGATGTGGGGAATCACAACATCCCTGATGTGGTTGCAGCATGCTGCGTGCTGCACAACCTTGTGGAGAGGAAAGGGGAGGCCTTTCTCCCTGCATAGAGGACACAGGCTGAGATGGAAGGGAGGCAGTTTGAGCAGCCTTGGACAGCTGCCATCCGGTAAGCCCACCAGTCAGGACTGCAAATCCGAGAAGCCTTAAGGGAGAAATTCTCCCAAGGAGGCCGCTGAGTTTCCCCAGGGCCTTCAAAATGTGGGATTTCCCCATGCCCCCGGTGCCTTCCTCCCCAAAATCCCTCCTGGCCCCACAGTCACACTTTGTACTCATTCCTCACATACTGAGAACGGAGACAGGTGATGGTGAAAACTTTTGTCCAGTTTATTTCACTGTTGTTTTTGGCACAAAATAAAATAAAATAACTCTTTTGTTCAGAGAAAATAAAAAACTTTTTTTCTTAGAAAATAAACTGTGTGCAAACAAAATAAAGTGCGTCCCTCAGTTACTGTCACTGGTGGGAAAGGGGAATGTCAACCAGGAAAGGGGGAGGAAAGCTCAGGGCTGAGGGGGCTGCCTGGAGGAAGAGCCCCTGGCTCTCTGGCTCCGGAGGCCTTACTGCATCCGGCTGTGCGTGCGGGCTGCCACAGCAGGGGGCTGGGCAGGAGGTGGGGCTGGACCTGGTTGTGGGATGGCAGAGGCTGAGGGGGGGCAGGCTGAGGAGGGGGCACAGGACCGGGGAAGGCCATGGCCTCCTGGATTGCAGCGCAGCTGTCCCTGCACTGCTGGGCGAATTCATCCAGCAAGTGCCGGCGCCACTCGGCCTCTGCCTCCAGCCTCCTCTCCATTGAGTCCTGCATCCTTTGCAGAATTCCAACATGCTGGCGCACCAGGTCTAAGTAGGAGTGCCAGTGCCAACAGGTTCCCTGCGGCCATCTGGGTGGTGGGGCAGGTATGGCGCCCCCCTCCTGGTCAGCTGGTCCGGCTGTGGAGGAGAAGAGGGAAAAGCTGTCAGTCATGCATGCTCACCCTTTCCCTGAGAGGGCATGCCTCCTCTTGTCAGCAGGCAGTGCTTGTCCTAGGTTCAGAGGCTGCTCATGTGTGTCTCAGTAAGGCATGGTGTGGACCAGCCCACAGCCACAACCACCCTGGAGCCCAGAAGGTGTGCAGGCCACCATCCTGCCCCCCAAACACAGCCCATGGCCGAGCAGCACAGACAAGTGTCAGGCCCCGGTTGGGGTTCCCGCAGAATACTGAGAGCCCTGCAGCTGTGAGGCAATCCCGGCATCCCCGACCCATGCCTGCACCTGGCATCACTGCCTGCAGGAGCAGGTGGTGCCTAGCAGCCCTGAGGGTGCAGGGGTAGGATGGCCCTCCCTGGGTGTGTCTCCTTTCCCCCCCCAGCTTTGATCAACATGACATGTCACAGCACTGCACCATCCCTTTTGCTCCCGCCTGCCCTGCGTTGAGGCGGACCCTCACAGCAATCACATCCTGATGTTCCTTCCCCGGTGTCCGAAGTTGCCTGGGAGGCCTCCTGGGTTTGGGCATCTGGGTCTGGGTCGCTGTGCTTCTGCTGGTGATGGTGTCTTCCTCCTCCTCCTGTTGGGAGCTGCTGGTGTTGTGCTGGGGTGTCACCCTAGAGTTGTGGCCCCTGCTGACTAGGGGTCTCCAGCCCAGACTCACTAGCCGTTCAGGAGGCAGGGGTTCCCCTTTCAGTCTTTCCTCATGGGTCATGCTTTCTAGACCTTTAATCATTTTTGTTCCTCTTCTGTGCTGTGGACCATCTCTAATTTGTCCACATCTTTCCTGACATGTAGTGTCCAGAACTGGACACAATACACCCTCCTGAACCCTCTCCAAAAATGCAATCAGCGGGATTACTCATCACTGACAATTTTTAAATCAAGATTGAATTTTTTTCTAAAATATATACTCTTGGTGAAGTCCCATGTTCTGTTTTATACAAAAGGTCAGACAACATGATCACAATCCTCCCTTCTGGCCTTGGTATTAAACTTTTCCTTTAGGATGCCTCCAAGAACTTTAAACGTTTCTTCTATTCATAAGTAAAAACCTTACCTCCACGCTCTAATGCCAATGTTGACTTTTAAATGTGGACCTGGAAAAGGTAAGTACTCACTAAAATGAATAGGCAAATTCTCATTGAATACATTAGTAAATTATTTAGAAAATGTTGGGTAAACTGAGATTTGAGTATTATGATATACAGTGAAAAACAGCTTACTTGGAACCTGATGTTTACAATATATTGAACTTTAACAGAAATAGAAATATTATGCACACTGGTTGCATGCTGAGCGTTAACATAAGAGTTCTTTTCAGCTGCACGAAAAAATCTGCTTTTGCAGAGGGGAGGAGTTCTCTGGCCTGCTCTGATGACACATCGTCTCCATGGCAACACATCCATGACAACGCAACAGACCAGGGTACTGCAGGCTGCAATTTGAGCTGTCTGCCTCAGGAATGCAGTGGTTAAAGGCTGGATGGCGGCTACGGAAGAGCTAGGAAGTCAGCAAATTTTAATAGCTAATGTTGATCAAGTAAGGAATACCCCTGTATGTCTTGGAATAAAATGGATAACTCTTTTGTAGAAGAGGTGGCTGCATCTTTGGTTAGAGAATTTCTCAGCAGAAAGGTAATTTATTTCATTTTGCTCCAGTCAATGCATGTGAATAACCCTAGCAAAGCATTATATGAATAGCTGAAAGAGTTTAAGGGATGTTTGGGGAGAAGAGAGACTTTTCCTAGTTTTTGGGTACTTATATCTAAACTGTAACACGCTATTAGAATACAAACAGTAGACTACATTTCCCATAAGGCATTTCTGTAACAGTAACACTTCCGAATATGTAAGTTGGTTTTTATCTAACTTAAGAAACATGAGTGTGCATAATAAAATCTGTTTTGTTATAGAATATTTCTGTGGGTTACTGGAAAGTGTCCATTTTGATATTGTCAAAATATTAAGTGTATGGTGTACACTTTCCAAACCTACTAGGTATCAAGCAATAAGAATGGATGTGAAGAACAGGAGAAAACAGAGAAAGAGCACAATCATGCCTAGCAGACTAATCTCATGGCTTTAAAAAAAAATCCTATTCTAAATATATGTAGTTTTCAAACATTCATTCAGATCTCCCTGGACAGTTTCAGAAAGGAAAATCTGAAATGTTGATACAGGTTTATTGAAAAAAAATTTTTTTTTCTGGAAGCTCCATTTTAAAAATCTACTTCATGTAAGGCATAAAGCTGCCCTCTAAATAATGTTCTTGGTGTTAAGACCAAACCTAGGAATAGTAATAAAAAAGGCCCATTTCAGAATCACAGTTAAGGCCTAGTTGGTAGGGATTATAGAAAGCCCCACCTTCATATCTTTCTAGAGTATTCATGTCATAATATTGTCCATGAACACTCATGCATATTAGAGCTATAATTCTACTGTATGGATTGAGATATTTAGGATTTAGGAACCCAAACACTATTCCCGTCCATGGGAATTAGTTTAAAACAAGTTCTCTATTTGCCTTATGCTATGCAGAAGATATCTGCTAGGATGACAATATACTAAGATGTTTAGATAAAAACAGTACATTGTTTTTTAGATTTGATGTGTACAAAACACAAAGCAAACCACTATTAAAATGATCAGTTTAAACTGAGCAGGGGAAGAGTGGCAGCATAGACAAACACAGGACTATTACATTGCTTTTTAGATTTGATGTGTACAGAACACATAGTAAACCACTATTAAAATGATCAGTTAAAACTGAGCAAGGGGAGAGTGGCAGCATAGACAAACACAGGACTTGCTTCAAGGTCCTTAACATCCAAAACCCAACACCTGTGCCAGATTTATTTCCCTGAATTTATTCTGCCATTTAGGGATGCATTGCAGTTGAGAATCTGCTTTTATTTCATTTCTGCCATAGTGCTTTTTTTTGTGTTCATGTGATTTTCCATAAGCTACTTCATAGCTCAGAAGCATGTCAGCAGCACAGAATCATTCATTAGCAGTTTTACCACATGTCTTAGTCCCTTGAAGCAGTCTGTGTGTAACAATCAAGTAGGAATCACATGTTTGGTGAGGACAACGTACTTTGTTTTGCTGGATTTTACCTTCAACCTATTGTTTATACTAAAATTGGGATTCTCCAAACCTAACATTTTAGTGTAACTTTGTGCGGAGTCTTCGTAAATTTGGGTGCAGATCTAATATTTGAATCTTTCCCGGGGACTGCTGTTAATCTTTGAGTAACCTTTCAACTTAACCTGATTTATAAGCTCACTAAGTAACTAGTTTAGAAAGTGACTTCATATGAGTAAAAGTGGTGCTTTGATTCTCTTAACAGGAAAAAACCCGTAAAAGTACTTTAGAAGTGTACAGTTTGACATTCTGGATTGGTTTTTAGCCTGCTTTAAAGTAGTTTTGAAAACCCATGTTTTGAAATACACGGTTAAGGTTCCTTCAGATCAAGTGAAACATTTTGTGTTTAACAAAAGATAATACCATACAAAGCAGATTCAAGTTAACATGATTTACTGTAATGACCAAATCCTTTCAAAATACACAACAGCTTGTGCAACACAGGAGGAAAAAGAGGACTTCCAGTCATTACGTGCATACCTGATTGACCTTTGAACATACAATACAGCTTGTTTGCTACAGCTGAGACCTGATCAGTGGAAATGTTTAGACTATAAAAACATGAGCTTCAGTTTCAGACACAGAGTATGAACTCCTAACATCCTCTTGATTTTCAACTAGTACCTAATTACAGTATTCATATTCACATTCACAACAGGCATTCATATTCACAACAGACCCAGCTTCCACTGGGGCTATCAGTTGTTCCATCAGATAGCAATGAAATTCTGAATTCAGTATCTATGGAAAAAGTCAAGCCACTGGTGTACATATTTCATATTTTAAGCTTTATTCGTTTTTTAAATAGTGTGAGCATACAGATTTTTTCCCTGAGGTAAAGTTAACATAGTAGCACCGTAGTCATGCTTTAAGCATCACTTTGGATAATGTAACCATTGTATTTGCAGGCTTCCCTTAGCTAATTATAAAAGAAGTTTAGATAATACAACAGTAATTAAATTATCAAAGACAATAATAGGAAGCTTGAGCACTCTAGCAATATGTGCTCTAGTATTTATAACAAGCTTCCAATTAGGTATGACCATTAAATAAAAATGTAAACTTAAAAGTGTAATGTGCTCTAGTGTTTATAACAAGCTTCAAATTAGGTATGACCTTTAAATAAAAATGTAAACTTAAAAGTGTTATTAGGATTCGTGCACTATGTCTAAAATTGAAATTTCTTTCCTCGAGGGTTTAAAAAAGACAAGTGCCATTATGGACAGAGAATTTCCACGTTCTGAATTTAGCATCAACAATAGAAATGAACTGAGAAATGTTTTGCATCTACATTCTTTGTACAAACAAAACAAGGTAAGGGAATTTTCAGTTTTGTAATCAGTGACCAGAAGTCAGCATCACACGAAGAATTGTATGTTATTACATGTTAAAAGCAATCTTTAAAAAACAAACAAACAAACCTCCCCAAAAAAGAGATCAGACAAGAATCACCATTAAGTTGTTACTTTAAAATACAAAGAGCGAATAGTTGGTTTTACTACATGTATCATTTCCTATTAATGGCTATAAAGAATAGATCTGATCTACAGATCAGACAAGAATCAGCATTATGGTGTTACTTTAAAATGCAAAGAGCGAATAGTTAGTTTTACTACATGTATCATTTCCTATGAATGGCTATAAAGAATAGATCTGATCTACATTTTTTACTTTAAGGAGAGCCTGAAGTAACAAGATGTTGTGCAAGTTGCTTGCATAAGGTTAAGGGCTGGATGGAACCATGTCTTATTACAACTTCTGTGTACATAAATGTTATTTGAAGAATGGAGTGCAGTTAATTTTCATCAAAGCTAATTCACTTTCTACCTTCTGCAAAAGTCACATATTCTGACATCTGGTGATTAATTTTCAGGCACTGTATTATTTATTATATCCATTTTCCAAAAGGAGTTATTTGTAGACCAGAAACTAACCACAGATAGAATGGAAAGCGAGCATAATCTTGAGTCAGAAGTGGACGATAATGCAACATTGTCTGGTGTTAGAGTCACTGTTATCAGATTATGCTTTCAAAACAAGCCTTTTTTTTTGGTAAGAGTAGGTGCATTAGCATGGCTGCCCTAACTATATTTCAGTTCAAGTAATTTTATGTGCCCAAGATTATCCTAAATGTTATATATCTATCATGTTCAGCTACTTCACTTCTCCCAAAATATTTTGCTTTTGTTTATTTTGCTTCCAGACTTACTAAACTACAGGTATTGCTGGAAGCAGTAAATGGTACACAAGCACATTGGTTTATATTGGTAATAATACATATACTATGTAAAATGAGCAGCAATTATCTTCGTATTAGCATAGTTGCTTGAGGTCTGGTTTTGCTTTTAATGCACATCTTTGTATGGTGACACTATAGTTTTTCACTGGTTTCAAAGAATAAAAGTTTCTTTCAGTACTGTTTCCTTGTTACATTTACACAGAAGTGGCTGACATCCAGTATTTTTTTTAAATCACCACTTGAGAAATGTAGTTTAATATGCATGATTGCATTTACTTATATCTAACTGTATAGCTAATACTAGCTGCAAAATTCAGACTTTTTCTGAGAAAAACAACAGAATCAAAAGTTGAGTTTTTATTGCACATATTTTATAGTTACAAAATACATCATGGTCATTTTCAAGTATATATGGATATTATAGTAAGAAATATTTCGAAATATGAAGCCAAGAAAAAAGGACTGAAAAAAGAATATTTTGTTTCACTGTCCACCTATTCTGTTTAAAGCTTCTGAGTCTTTAAGAATCTTTAAGGTGATGTCTGGCTACTCAATATTCCCGAGTCATACTTTTTATGAAATAACATGATTTTATATCTACAAAACCCTTCAGTGCATACTAAAAGACCATGAGCAGATTTAAATCACTACACTGTAGAACTACACTTTTTTTGTTCTGTTTTAATTGAAGTAGGTTGAAGACTTTCAGTAGTTGTAAACTAAGGCACTTCCTCCTCTCTTTTCCAGGCAAAGGAGAATCCACTGAAAACAATTCTTGAAGTTATCACCAACTACTTTCTTGAACATTTTGGGACTACCAGATGCATCACAAGTTCTGCATATTCAGCTCCACAAGCTAAGAGCTCACAGTCTAGGTGTGTAGAAACATCACTAAATAATGACTACTCAGATGAAGACATGCATGGCAGAACAGCAGCATCTCATACAAGTAAAATTGAGGCTCACAGGTACAGTCTCATTTAACTTTACCTAAATATATATGCACTCTAATCCTTACATTCAAAATTACTTGTATGAAGAGGTTTTAGTTCTTACATTATTTTATCTTTTCATAGTTTAGCTTGCCATGCTATTGAAAGGCTACTATATGATCAATATTCTTTACTGTGACCATCCTTTTAATTGTGTGCTCCTCAAGAAACCTCCACTCTCATACTTTATGTTTGACAATCTCATTTCTAGCCTACATCTTCATTCTTCTGTACAAACTAGCCTGAGCTATAGTGTTCTCTGTAAATTGAGAGCTTGGATGGTTATCCAAGAGAGATTCAAATCCCCGCCACCCACCCACCCAGCTGATTAGCAGTGTCCCCACAGCACCCACAGCCAGCAGCATGAGTTTCTATTAGTGATATACATCCACACATGCCTTGTGCACATAACATTTATTCCACATATTAATGGAAAAAAACAGAGGGAATATTGCTGAGCTATTAGACCAGATGCGTGAGAAAGTTCAAAGAAGTTCAGATATGAATGCATGCCTTTAAGAAGAGATAATTATCTAGAGAACAAATTTTCATATGTATGTAATAGAAAAATAATACATGAAATCAAAAACAAAAGAGTATTTTTCACCCCCTAACAACAGAGCAGTCTGAAGTATTTGGAACCCCTTTCTACTCATGTTTTGCAGAGTGGAAATTTATACAAATCTTCTGTGACCTATTTTTCTGTAAAGGTTGAAACTCTCTAGTCTGGCACACACTGGTCTGGAATGATTGTAGTTATAGAATAACAGAATACTAGGACTGGAAGGGACCGCGAGAGGTCCAACCTAAACCTGGCTTGCTGCAGTTTAAGCCCATTGCTTTTTGTTCTATCCTCAGAGGCCAAGATGAACAAGTTTTCTCCCTCTTGCTTATGACACCCTTTTAGATACCTGAAAACTGCTATCATGTCTCCCCTTAATCTTCTCTTTTCTAAACTAAACAAACCCAATTCTTTCAGCCTTCTTTCATAGGTCATGTTCTCTAGACCTTTAATTATTCTTTGTTGCTCTTCCCTGGACCCCCTCCAATTTCTCCACATCTTTCCTGAAATGCAGTACTCCAATTTAGGGCTAACCAGCGCAGAGTAGAGTGGAAGAATGACTTTTCGTGTCTTGCTCACAACACACCTGTTAATGCATCCCAGAATCATGTTTGCTTTTTTTGCAACAGCATCACACTGTTGACTCATATTTAACTTGTGGTCCACCAGAACCCCTGGATCCCTTTCGGCTGTACTCCTTGCTAGACAGTCGCTTCCCAGTCTGTGTGAAACTGATTGTTCTTTCCTAAGTGGAGCACTTTTCATTTGTCTTTATTAAACTTCATCCTGTTTGCCTCAAACCATTTCTCCAATTTGTCCAGGTCATTTTGAATTATGACTGTATCCTCCAAAGCAGTCACAACCCCTCCCAGCTTGGCATCATCTGCAAACTTAATAAGTGTACTTTCTATGCCAATATCTAAATCGTTGATGAAGATATTGAACAGAGCCGGTCCTAAAACAAACCCCTGCAGAACCCTACTTGTTAAAACTTTCCAGCAGGATTGAGAACCATTAATTACTCTCTGGGTTATGCACCCACCTTATAGTAGCCCCATATAAATTGTATTTGCCTAGAGTATAGATAAGAATATCATGCGAGACCATATCAAATGCCTTACTAAAGGCTAGGTATACCACATCCACCGCTTCTCTCTTATCCACAAGACTAGTTATCCTATCAAAGGAAAGCTATGAGATTGGTTTGACATGATTTGTTCTTTACAAATCCATGCTGGCTGTTCCCTATCACCTTACCACCTTCCAAGTGTTTGCAGATGATTTCCTTAATGACTTGCTCCATTATCATCCCTGGCACAGAAGTTAAACTAACTGGTCTATAGTTTCCTGGGTTGTTCTTATTTCCCTTTTTATAGATGCGCACTATATTTGCCCTTTTCCAGTCTTCTGGAATCTCTCCTGTCTCCCATGATTTTCCAAAGATAATAGCCGGAGGCTCTATCAGCTCCTTGAGTATTCTAGGATGCTTTTCATCAGGCCCTGGTGACTTGCAGGCATCTAACTTTTCTAAGAGATTTTTAACTTGTTCTTTATCTCATCTTCTAAACCTACCCCCTTTCCACTAGCATTCACTTTTAGGCATTCCTTCATCAGACTTCTCGGTGAAGACCGAAACAAAGAAGTCATTAAGCATCTCTGCCATTTCCAAGTTTCCTGTTACTATTTCTCCCTCCACACTGAACAGTGGGCCTACCCTGTCCTTGGTTTTCCTCTTGCTTCTAATATATTTATAAAAAGTTGTCTTTTCTCTTTATTCCTGTAGCTAGTTTGAGCTCATTTTTGTTGCCTTTGCCTTTCTAATCTTGCTCCTGCATTGCTGTGTTGTTTGCCTATAGTCATCCTGTGTAATTTGTCTTAAATTCCATTTTTTACATGACTCCTTTTTTTATTTTTAGATCATGCAAGATCTCGTGGTTAAGCCAAGGTGGTCTTTTGCCATATTTTCTATCTTGCCTACACAGTGGAATAGCTTGGTTTTGGGCCCTTAATGTTCCTTTTGAAAAACAGCCAACTCTCCTCAGTTATTTTCCCCCCTCAGTCTTGATTCCCATGGGATCCATTCCTACTCAGGATGGATGTGGCCAAGTTTCCCATAGCTCCATACAGTGGGTTTTCAAGCACCAATCCTGGGTCTCACTGTTCTGCAGTTATTTAGCTCCGATTTACCCCTAAATGTCTTCTAAGAGCCCAGTAAAGCAGCGGAAATGTTGGAAATGCTGCTAAGCACTGCCAGACCGTGGGAGGTCGGTAAATTCTCTAGCATGGCACCAATCAGGTCGTGAAGGTGCCAGACTAGACAAGTGCAACCTGTGTGAATGCCCCTTTGTTGGAAAGCTCCCTTAGCATCTACTAGCCCCTGAGCCTCCACTGAACACTTTTAGCATAAGCTCTTCTATGGGCTGGCTCAATGGAGGGTGCCTGAGACTCTGCCCATTGCAATCCTGCTCGCCCCCTGGCTCCAGTGGCTTTCTAGGCTCCTGCAGCTGCCAGCCATTTAATGGTGGCTCTTTTTGCTAGGTTCATAAGCAGGCAGGCTGAACAAGTGTGTGTAGGGGGGGGGTGAAGGGGGAAATCCCCCCCCTCCAAGCCCTGGGGGCTCCCTGTGCCGCGGCCCCTCCTACACCCACCCCTGCTTTCAGCCCCGCGAGGGACACCCTTGGCCCGCAGGCAGAACAGAACGCCACGCGCCAGAGCGCCCAGCCCCAGCACGCGCCACGCGAGCGAGCGAACGCGCGCCGCCCGCTTCCGTCGCGCAGGCGCAGCGAAGCGTTCGCCCGCTCTTTCGCGCCCCGCCCCGCGCAGGAGGAAGGAATGATTGACGGGTCAGAGCGCTCTCCGCTCCCGACTCAGGGCGGTCCGGAGCGGCCGGAAGTGGCTCTCGAAGAGTTACTCTCTGTCCTGCGCCGCGCCCGGACTCTATGATCCCCACCCTCCAAAGGCTGACCGCTCTCCGGACATGCGCAGTGTGTGTTCCCCTAGCGGAGGGGGGGAGGAGCGGCCGGCTGTTTTTAAAGGGACACACACGTGTTCTTCCCTCCCCCAGTGGTGGGGGCTGAGGGTGCAGCGTGGGGAGGGGTGACCCCAGTGACATGCCTGCCCTGCGCCGCGCCCGGACTCTATGATCCCCACCCTCCAAAGGCTGACCGCTCTCCGGACATGCGCAGTGTGTGTTCCCCTAGCGGAGGGGGGGAGGAGCGGCCGGCTGTTTTTAAAGGGACACACACGTGTTCTTCCCTCCCCCAGTGGTGGGGGCTGAGGGTGCAGCGTGGGGAGGGGTGACCCCAGTGACATGCCTGGTCTCACCCCCCTGTGGCTAACATAGCAGCCTGAAGTATTTGGAACCCCTTTCTATTTATTGCAGTATGGAAATTGATACAAATCCTCTGTGACCTATTTTTGTGTAAAGGTTGAAGCTCTCTAGTCTGGCACACAGTGGTCCGGCATGATTGCAGTTATCTGGACAGCCACTCAGCAGGGATGTGGCCAAGTTTCCCATAGCCGCATAAAGTGTGTTTACAAGCACCAGTCCCGGCTCTCAGTGTTCCCAAGGCAGCTTGAGCAAGGGCTGAGAATGGGGGGCGGGGGGGTGCACGGGGCAGGAGCTAGGGTTGCCAGACGGTTTCAACAAAAATACCGGACACACTTGAGCATGGGCATGGGAACCCAAACAGGAGAGAATGGCTGAGCACACTGAGACCGGGGGATAGCTCATGTCTCCAGCAGCAATTTAAAAGGCCTGGGGTTCTGTCCGCAGCTATTGCTGCGGTAGTGCCAATTACCAGGCCTCGGGGGAGCTGACCCCTCCTTTTATTTAGAAAATACCAGACATTTATATTTTCTAATTTATATTTTCTCAGTTTGTTTCCCAAACAGAAAGCTCAAGTACTGGACTGTTCAGTTCAAAACTGGACACCTGGCAACCCTAGCAGGAGCCCAGCACAAACCAGGGGCATGAGCATGGGCATGGGAACCCAAACAGGAGAGAATGGCTGAGCACACTGCCTGCTCTGACTGTGTCAGATGCTTTTTGTAAAGCCCCAACTCTAGGAGTCGTGAGGTTGCCCGAGATGCTCAGAGACTCTCTAGCAGCTGTGGGTGTGAATGACACGGCCCCCGTGTGCTCGTAAGCCTCAGAAACCAGACAGCAAAGACAAAAGTACACAAGCAATGTACTAGTTAAAAATAACAATGAAAATTTGGGGGTATGATTTAGAGCTTATGGTTCTTGCTCGCTCCATGTTGCTGATGCTGAACGTGGATGCGTCTGGGGCTCAAAGCCAATTGGGTGGATGTGCAATGGAAACATAACTTGTGGGTATATTTTCAGCTGGTATAAATCAGTCTAGCTCTACTGAGTACAGTGGAGCTGTGCCAATTTACACCAGCTGAGAACCTGCCCATTCAGAGCTGACAACAGACTTCGCTGGGCCCTGGCCAAGGGAATGGCTCCAGGGCCCCTAGAAGGCTGCAGCACGTTGGGCAGAAGTGGTGAGGCCGGGGGATAGCTCATGAATCCAGCAGCAATTTAAAAGGCCTGGGGTTCTGTCCACAGCTATTGCTGCGGAAGCGCCAGTGGCAGCCCAGAGCCTCAGGCCCTTTTAAATTACCGGGCCTCGGGGGAGCTGACCCCCCCTTTCTCATTAGCAGCCCTGTGTCTATTTGATTGTTCATCTAATTTCTCCATCAGCAATTTAAAAGGCCTGGAGTTCTGTCCACAGCTATTGCTGCAGTAGCGCCAGTGGTAGCCCAGAGCCTCAGGCCCTTTAAAATTACCGGGCCTCAGGGGAGCTGACCCCCCTTTCTCATTGGATACCTTGTGTCTATTTGATTGTTCATCTAATTTCTACTTGACTTCAATGTGACTACTCATACATAAAGATAAGGACCTGCATAAGCCATTGCAGGATGGGAGCCATACAGTGTTCTTATACATCCTATGATTAAATACGGAATCAGAACTTTTGGCAATGTGACACTGGCAAAACATGAAAATCTAAGCCTCACAGAAACACAATGTGAAATGCAAATCATAAGAATGAAATATTGTAAAGATATTCTTAACTTTAATCCAAAATTTGTTAGTCATTCCATATGAGCGACTCTTGTCAAGCTTCAAAGAAATGGAAATATAATCAGATACTTGTTTGCTGAGACTCCTGTCTACTTTCATGCTGACCAATTTTCACTTTTTCTTGGTATTCCTCCTCTGGTTGGATCTGTCTTGTTTTATACTCAAATTGTAAACTCTTTGTGGCAGGGACTGCCTTTTTCTTCACTGTTAATACAACACATTGCGCAATGAGGTGTTAGTTCCTGGATGTGACAATAATCCAAATAAGAATAATAAATTCTCAATGATGACAACTAATGGTTTAAAAGCTATTTAGAATTGTATACCTTCTTTCCCCATTAGGATATGATATGTAGTGCATTAAGTAATCCTAACATTAAAATGATCGATTTAATTTATAATTCATTCCAGAAAAATAGACATCATATTAATATATCTTTCCTACCTAATTCACAAGTAGCTCAACCATGTTAGTATTCAATTTTTATTGATAATATTTGTGTATAATTTCATTTTTAAAAATATGCTTCTTCCCCTATAGATATGACATTGATGAGCCACTAGATAAAGTTATTTCATCAAAAAGACACCAACATAAAAGTGAGAAATCCAAGACTGTGGTAGTACCCAATAGTGGCCCATCCACTGAAGGAGATAAAAAGTTAAAAAACAGAGATGATTTGAAAACAACAGAAATGCCTGAGGAGATGAAAACCACAGTGAGAGAGAAGCAAAGGTCCAAGTCTGGTCTCATTGTCAGAGGAATGATGGCTGGACCCACTGCAAGTTCACAAGAGGTGCTTTTCTGTATTTCTAAAGAGATTAAAAAGAGGGTTAAAGTTATAGATTTCTACATTAGTTTTTCTAGTAAAGACATTTGAATATAACATGAGGTCGATTTTGTATATCAAATTATTATTATTATAGTTAGAGTTTTTATCAATGCAGTAATTTAAGGAAGCATTTGTAGTTAGTAATTAAAATAATTTAGATGATTCAGAACAATCAGCCATCATAGAGTTGTGTAATAACTAACCTATGCAATGATCAGGAGCTTCAGGGAGTAGCCAAGTTAGTCTTTTACAGAAAAAAACAACAAATGGTCTGGTAGCACTTTATAGACTAACGAAACGTGTAGATGGTATCATGAGCTTTTGTGGGCATAGCCCACTTCTTCAGATTTACTCCCGTCTTCTGAAGAAGTGGGTTTTGCCCACGAAAGCTCATGATACCATCTACATGTTTCGTTTGTCTTTAAAGTGCTACCAGACCATCTGTTGTTTTTTTCTATGCAATGATGTGATCTTTGATTACCCTGTGTATAGTTATTGTTTCTTTTCCATTCCCATTCTCATTAATCTCTTCAAGGGTTGAATTTTCAAAAGTACTGAAGGAAGTTAGGCATTTAAATCCCAGTGAATTTCTTTAAAAACTCCAACCTAAATCAACACCAGTTCTGAGATCAAGAAATTAAATTTCTGCTAACATTCCCCTGTGTTTTGTACTGTGCTCTTACAGTGAGTATTCTTGAA